AACTGTATAGTTTTAAAATTATTCATGTCACTGAGTATTACTTTTTTTTTTCCAGAGTATTATGGGGGGTACAAATGTTTTGGTTACATGGATTGCTTTTGTACCGCCTGAGTCAAAGTTATAAGTGTGCCCATCACCCAGATAGTGTCCATTGTACCAATTAGGTATGATTTCACACATCCCCACCTCCCCCCACCCCTCCTTGATTTCCATTGAGTTTTACTTCCATTTGTGCACTAAGTATCACATTTGATCCTCACATTTCTTCATAATATATGGGGAAATATATTTGTTTTCATTCCCATTTTAAAATCTTAAAATTGAAGTTTGAGCAGATGGTGACACCCTGAACTCAGATTAAGGTGTGGTTTCACATCTTAGCTACCCACATAATGCTACCCATCACAGCGATTGTGGATAGCTGGGCATCACAAAGTTGCATACACAGCTACTCGAGGACAAGTTCCTGTACACCAATCAAAGGGAGGGAAAGATCTGCAGGCAGCTACAGTTTTATATTGGTCCCAACTGACTTCCCAGGTCAACTGACTTTCCCATGTCTGTAGTAAAACACATATGGAAAAACTGGAATAAGATTTTTTGGTTTATGTATACTTAATATTATATGTTGGGTATGGTAAAATAATGTTTCTCTTTTATTACAGCTAATTTCTTGAGATAGAAGACAGAGACAGATGACTTGTTTCCAAGATATGAAGATCTGATTTATACCAGCAAAGAGAATGTATTTCCTTTTCTAAATCCTTGTTAAGCATTGTTAGTAGAATTTACCGTTGACCTTTTTATCTTGAGTGTTACGTAAATTTGAGTTTGCCGTTTTAAATTGCATTCCTGTGCAGTTTTTAGTTTAAAATCTTGCATGGCGGTAATTGTTCCTTGCTTTTATAGTTGTATTTTGTACATTTTTGATTTCTTTATATAAGGTCATATAGATTCTTGAACTGTTGTGGTTTTTAGTGCACTTAATATTAGCTTGCTTAAGACATACTTTTAATCAAGTAGAACAAAAACTATTATAACTGGCATTTATACACAGACTATTGCAGTATTTAGTATATGAACTATTTTGAATACATATCTCTTCTGTCAGTGTGAAAACTCAGTGGCAGTATGTTCATCGTATTAAAAATACACAAACTACAGCTATCCGGATGACTAAATTGGAACTTTTTTCCTGCATGTATATAATGTCAAATTGTCAGCATGACAAAAGTGACAGATGTTATTTTTGTATTTTTAAAAACCAATTTGTTGTATATAAAGTTTTTTATTTCTTTTGAGCAAATCACTTTTTAAACTCACATAGGTAGGTATCTTTACAGTTATAAACTATGAAATCTCAGTGTTCAGCCAGGCAGTGTAACAGAGCGGAGCAGTGAAAGTTCAGTGACGAAACACTGAAGGAACAGTCTTCCTGCTCTGCCTCAAAAGTGTCATCAATTTGTAGTATTAACTCTGCAAAGTGTCTGTAGGTACATTTTATATTAAGGAAAGACCAAAATCAACACATCACAGCTTCAAAATCTTTGGGAAGGGTTGGGATTAAGTACAAGCACATTTGGCTTATAGTAAATGAACTGATTTTTATTAAGTGCTTTTGCCCATATAAAATGCTGATATATTTACAGAAAACCTGGCCACCTTCATAATTATGATAAAAGTACCAGGTGTAGTGCCAGCAGATAATGTACAGGCAATAGCAGATAACTCTGAAAGTATTTCTCAAAACTGGTAAGATGTTTATTTCTGACGTTTCTGGAATCAGCTGTTGGGTTTCACATTTTGGCTAATCAGGATTCTAGGTATCAACCACATATGGACCACTCTTGAAAGAGAACTGATTTTGTCTTGGAAATTGACTGTCTTAATCAGTTTATTAAGTAGTCTCTCTGAATTTTAAAATAACATGCTGCTTATGACAGAATTAGATATTTGATGTACCAATTAAGTGTTGAAAGATATCTTTGCATCATAGAACAGAAATATATAAAAATGATATGTTGAATGTTAACAGGTATTTTCACAGGTTTGACTTATTTCTTGATAAAGACATTAGGGTACGGCATACTTAATACAAATGAATGAAATAAGCAACTAAATGAGACCTAAGAATGGGCCCTTGATTTTAAACTTGTTCTTATAAACCTTGTCAATAAAAATAATAAATCTAAATCAATGGTGTTAAGTGTCTTTCATTTGATGTCAGATGACAGGTTTAAGTAGCATTTCTGAACAGATTTTTAAATGGAGTCAGCCCCATTCCTTATATGGATTTTGAGTGCTCCTCAGTGATAACTGTGACCATTTTTGAAGTGATTTCACAGAACTATCAATCAAGGTTGTTTATTTTATGACCATTTACTACAAAGAGGATAAGTAGTAATGCCTATGACCTAAAAAGAATAAAGAGGGTTTAGAGGTGAGGAGATGGAGTTGGTCTGTGTGAAGGTTCTTCGTGATGATATAATACATCCATTAATAAGACCAGACTGTTCATTGCTACAGTACACAAAGTGTATTTGAAAGACAAGCCTAGTTTTTATTAAGCAGTTTTACACAACTAGCTATTCATCATCTGTAAGTTAAAACATTGTAAATTTGTATTTTCCGCTACTCAATTACAAAATCTTCAGACAACACTGAGAAACATTCAAAGTAACTCAAGAAAATAAAGTACCATGGTTCCTTAAAGAACAAAATGTCAAAGTATATCACTTGAGACAGGAAATTAAAAAAAAATACACATTTACCATGCCTTAAGTAGGTTTTTCCCTGCTTGTAGCACAGTGCAAGTTTAAGTGCCCAGAAACTAAAGTAATAATTTACTGTGAACCATTTCAAACTTAACATATTTTGCATTTATCACTTAACACATGCTATTTAAACATTTTAGTATGTAATACTTTAAAGCAGAATACTTTCCAATCAATACCAATGAGTCTCAACAAATAACCTAAATATCCGCGTTTTCCTGTATTAACTTTGCAATATACAGTTGTTGGCTTTCCTTTGTAATATACTTTGGGGAAGAGGGGTATCTAAATGCTAAGGTTCACTGCACATTCTTTCTGTAAGGTATTTATAAGCTGACTTTAATTTTTAAAAATACCTAATATTTTGAAAAGTGGCTTTAAAGTCTTAGTCCCTTTTTTAAGCAAACCAATATAATTGAAAGAATTGTTCAAAGATTTTAAAACAAAAGCGTATCTCTAACCTGTAAACTGAAGTTTCTTGGCAAAGTAAGCATCATGAAGACCCTGAAACCAAAGTTTTTACTTTAAAGTGACATATTAAACCATTTTCAGTCTTTAGTGAAAAAGTAAATGCCATGTTCTTAGGCTTTTAAAATATGGCTTATAAAATGTGTAGTATTTACTGAGATAGCTCACATTTTTCTGCAGTTTTCCAGTGGACCTGCCTATGGAATACTGTAAACATAATTATGCAAAAAATATTCCTAGAGATTAAATCAGTTATTTTAAGTAGAAGTGGAGAGGGGCTTTTATTAAATTATTCTGGCAAGATCCTTTTGCTAGTGGTTGCCAATATCAGGGATATTTAAAGCAAAGGTATATTCTACATCTACAGTGTGAAGACCACACTATCTGTGCCCCACTGTTAATGATACAATGCCTATACCGTTTAAGGGACTGAAAATTTTCCTGGTTTGCCAATGACTGCACAAATCTAAAATATTTTATCACAAAAGATACCTGAATTTAAATTTTTGAACACCCAGTGGGAAGAAATATGTACAATATAAAATGTCTAGAAGCTTCATCTTACCGTCAACTGGAGAGTTTGTGCTGTATCAAAAATGAAAAGTTCTATCTAAATTTTAAGTAAAAGCTCAATGTTGGAGCTATATAAAAATATTAAGGCTCATTGGTAAAGATACTGATAAATTGTCACAGAAGAAAAACATGGCTTTATCTAGTTTTTTAATGATTCCTGCTTGATTGATTGGTTTCTCAATGTGTAAAAATTGATCAACCAAATTCAAAATGTCAAATCTGAAGGGAACCTCCAACCATGGAAAAATCATTTCCAAGGTCTCAATTGAAGGTTATATTCTGCCTTATTCTGAAATCTGGACTTTTAGCACTAATTGGACTCATGAACAATGCAATTAATATAAGTGCCTATAAGGGTATTTGGGGTCAGTGCTTTCAGAGTGGTAAAATGGGCTTACATTATTGAATCACATTAAAAAACATTTCAGTTTTGCTATGCAGAGTTTTTTCCCCCTCTTACAACTGAGGTTCAACATGTGTTTCAAACTTTCCCATTTGGGGTACAGAAGAAAGCTGGGTCCAAACAAATTCTATTTAAAATGCTGCAATCTTGCTTGCTTCTCGAACACCACTCAAATATGCCCCTGTCACAGTTTGTGGAAAATGCCTGTTTGTTGCCTGTAAAAAATAATTGCATAATTTGAGATCATGCAGAAAGAATACAGTTGATATCAAAAGGTAACACAAGCTTAGACTGTATCTGGTCCTCCTAAAATAAAGATCGGTGCTACTCCTGTGTGCTCGTACATATTAACACTGCCCAACCATGAGAGCCTTGCACTTCTGGTTATCTTGCCATGCTTCACCAAATCCGTTCATTTAACAACATAATCAGCGCTCCTGCCAAGTATATGGGATTCATTAAAATATTAAGTATCTGTATGTGCCAGGTACTGGGGCTAAGAAGAATAAATAAGGTAAAGTCCCTCCCATCGGACAAGTAATCTAGCTGGTACATTCGGAGATGAGTGAAAAAAGTACAGAAAATGAATGGCAATTTCTCCACAGATGGAGTTTTGCTAAATGTATAGAACAAAGGTGTACAAGGTTACTCAAAGGATAGACCAGGGACTTTAAGTTCAACAAGAAGAAGACAAAATGTGAGGGCTGTTGGATTGGGAGGAAGTAAACAGGCCGTCAATGATAGCAGAACCTCCCTTCCAAGGAAGGGCTGTAGTGAGAATAGAATAAGCAAAGCAGGAGGCTAAGAAAGGGGGAGGCCTGCATTAGTGGGAAGTGATAATGACAAGGTCTGGGAAGGGGGAGCTGAAGTGGAGTTGAACAGGCTGTAGAAAATGGAGAAGGATAAGGAACAGTGCAAGAGGTGAAGCTGATAGTCCCCTAAATTGATGGCTGGGATAGAAGGGAAAACATCCAGGTGCCAAAGACTCAGGTCAGTAGGAATACAATCACTAGCAGGGGGAGAAAGTGGCAGTGAGAAGCTTCAGAGAAGCGAGTTTTTAGATGGTGAGGTAATAATCCTATCAAAGCAGCAAAGGAGAAAGCAAGAAAGGTGACATGCTCATGACCCTAAGACACATGAGCCTGAAACAGCCATCTCTTGGAAGCAACTGACATTTGTTGCCCGCCATGCCACCTTTATGCCCTTCCTACAAAGCTGGCTCTGCACAGGCCAAGGAGTAATGAGAGACACTTGGTTTTGAGATGTCATTCTTTTGTAAACAAAAACACTACCTCTATTTTAGATTAAACTGCAAGATATGCTATACTCCTAAACCATATTATATAGAGTATGAACACAGATGAAAGAGTGGTCAGACTTCACTCTTAAGTTTGGACTGGGGGTTCTAGTAACAAAAAGCAAACCCATCCCAAAGAATCCTTACAAAATCCTTACAAAACGGAACCATGGAGGCAGAGGTTGGCATGGGGTAAAAACACAGTTGGTTTAAAAACTATGGAAAGCAATTATATTCTTCATCAGACTGCACATTCGACCGTATGCAACAGAGATCTGACTTAGCAGGATGAGGCACCAAACAAAATGAGGATTAAGTCAAGTCTTCATAACTAACAAAGAGGCTTCTAGTGCCCACAATGCTAGAAGCTAAGCTTCCACCAAAGAGAAACTGAATGTTTCCAGATAGATAGTGATGTTTGTGGATCTAACCACCAGTTATTCAGCTTGCTGGAGCTCTCATGTGGCTTTTAAAAAAATGCCTCACTCAAATCTGTGCTGATAGTTGGGGATTTGGATGTGTAGCAGGCAGAGACAAAAACACACAAAATAGGAACTCTGAGGATATCAGGTAGGGAGGCTGCAAACAGAAACAAGTTATGAAGGATGCAGAGGATATTACCAAAAAGGAACATTTTGCAAACAAAGCATTCATAAAGTAAAAGCCAAAATTTTAAGTCAATTTGAGGGTTGGAAGATTTAAAAGGTCTCCCCAGAAGCAGAATAAAAAGAGATGAAAAGAAGAGGGAATCAGATGGTCAACCTAAGAGTTCCAAGATACAGAAAGCCTAGAAATAAGTTTTTTCCTTGACCAGATAAATAATGAAACGAAGAAAATTCTAGAATTGAAGGATATGAGTTTCTAGATTACAAGGAATGAAAAAAGGCACAGAAAGGATCAGAAGTCAGAATAACAAAACATTTTTTCAGCAGAAGTAAATCAAGAAAGAAGAGAGGGGATCTTGGAAATAGAGGCCCAATGCTGGGGAGTGGTTTAAAACAAACAAACAAAAAAAGACCCAGGAGGAGGCTCTGGAGTAATCTTAGACATCAACCAGTGTGGACCGGAGCAGAGGGAGGAGGACTCCGGGAAGGGGGAGTTCAAAGACTAGAACTAACAGGCCAGCTCAGAAAGATTTGCCTGTGAATTAGAGATGGCAGACGGTAGGGGAGACCAGCAAAGTTATGCTAATAACCAAAGGGGCCATTACGACTGCCAAGAAAACAAAGCTGTGTAAGAAGTAGATAATGTCTAACGTTAAAATCAGAAGACAGCGACAGATTGTTTCAAAACATGAAGTCAAGGCCGGGCGCGGTGGCTCACACCTGCAATCCTAGCTCTCTGGGAGGCCGAGGCGGGCGGATTGTTTGAGCTCAGGAGTTCGAGACCTGGCTGAGCAAGAGCGAGACCCCACCTCTACTAAAATTAGAAAGGAATTAATCGGCCAACTAAAAATATATAGAAAAAATTAGCCGGGCATGGTAGCGCATGCCTGTAGTCCCAGCTACTCGGGAGGCAAGAGGATCGCTTGAGCTCAGGAGTGTGAGGTTGCTGTGAGCTAGGCTGACGCCACGCCACTCACTCTAGCCCGGGCAAAAAAGTGAGACTCTGTCTCAAAAAAAAAAAAAAAAAACATGAAGTCAAATCCAGAAGAAACAGCTGGAAGAGTTAAGATGCTGCCTCTGGGAGTATGAGGAGGATGTTGAGAAAGCTTCTGCTGTTTGTGGTCCTAAGACTTTCAACCATATTTGACTTGGTTTTTAAACTCTGGGCAGATACCACTTTAAAGAAACCAAAATACAAGTAAGTGGGTTCGGAATCAAGATACACACCTCGCCAGCAAAAAAGATGGTTCCTTGTATTTCTTCAGCAATGATATCGTAGGCCTCGCCACTTCCACCTGTCTTCACAAAACTGTACGCCATCTGGATCCACGGGTCTGTGCTCCACCGAGTGACGAAGTACTTTGTGGGGTCTGGGACCTCCTGCATCCAACAGAAAGGAATTATAAAACAGGGTCAAGAAGGGACTCAGACATGGTGCAACCCAAATTACAAATACATAGTCTCCCTCCTTTAGGACTGAGTTCACTCCCACAGCATTCTGAAACAGCAGTTCTCAGGACGATCCTCCTGCCCCTTTAAGCCTCTGCACCTCATCCTCAATCTCCTGTCCCACCCACCCACAATCACAATTCCCTCACTCCTATACTTCCTCCTTCTGCCAGGGACATGTCTCCCCACCTACCGGGGCCATCGCCAACAGCTAAGAGTTTGGGCCTTCCCTTTCCATTGCCTGGCATGTGCAGGAGAGATGGTGGCCAGGGGTCTCTGGCTCAGAGTAGAAAGGGGAAGGGCGGAGTCTTCGGATCACAAGTTAGAACTCTCAACAGCCTTCTCCACAAAACAGTGATACAAGGAGATGTTTCACATTCACCAAATTTAAAATACAGTAGTCTCCCCTTATCTTCAGGGGATACATTCCAAGACACCCAGTGGAGGCCTAAAGCCATGCAAAGTACTGAACCCTATATATACTATGTTTTTTCCTATACAGACATATGCTAAAGTTTAAAAGTTAGGCACAGGCAGAGAAGAACAGTAATAAAGTAGAATTATAACAATGTACTGTAATAAAAGGGACGTGACTGGATCTAATAACCGTGACGGCTACTATGTGACTCACGGACGGCAGCGTCTACAGGGTGGAGATGCTGGACAAAGGGATGATTCACGTCCTAGGCAGGGCGAGGCGGGAGGGCTCAAGAGTTCATCATGCTATTTAGAACTGTCCATGATTTAAAATTTATCAATTGTTTATTTCTGGAATTTTCCATTAAATATTTTTGGGCCCCAGTTGACCTCAGGTAACTGATACCATGGAAAGCAAAACCTTGAAAAAGGGGGAACTACTGTAATTTTGCTGGCTGGCCTCTGACAAGCATTGCCATGAAAAATATCCCCACGGCAAGTGTGTGCTAAGTTCCAAAGAACCAATTTAAAAACAACCTTTTAGACAAAAACCCCAAGCGAGGGTCTATTGTGTGATATAATCACAACACTAGTTACATCGTCTCATATAAAATTAGCAACATAGCTGAATGTCCCTCTCTAATTTACGTAACTTTCGAGTCACTTCTATTTTTGCTCCTTTATCGGAAAAAGACATAAGCCACAACCATTTACAAATCTCCAGAGATGATGAAATTTAGTACATTGGCTAATATAAATTAGTTCCTTGGAGAAAAGACAGAAAGGAGACTGTCTGTGTGGGATATAAGAAAATTCTGGACAATGTCCCTCTTTCAAAGGAAGGCTGTAGTCAAAGCTTCTAGGGTTTGGGTAAATACAGAATCTACAGAAAATGTTGAGCCTTTCGTATCCTTAGCAAAATGGGTGTGTGCATGATGTGAGGAGAAAAAAGGAAGGAAGACAATTGCATAAAGAGAAGTACAGAGCACTGTCACGGGGCTGCGCTGGGTCCCACCCAAATTCCTATGTTGAAGTCCTAACCCCCAGCACCTCAGAATATGACTGTATTTGGAGACAGGGTTTTTAAAACAGGTAATTATGTTAAAAAGGGGTCGGCGGGGTGGGTTCTAATCTAATCTGACTGGTGTCCTTATAAGAGACGAGGACACAGACACACGCAGAGGGACAACCACATGAGGACACAGGGAGAAGACGGCCACCTACAGAAGCCAAAGAGAGAGGCCTTGAGAGAAACCAACCCCGTCAACACCTCGATCTCGGACCTCCAGCCGCCAGAACTGTGAGAAAATAAATTTCTGCTGTGTAAGCCCCCCAGTCTGTGGCTGAGAGGATGTTATGGCAACCCTAGAAGACTCATCTAGGTGCCTAAGTGGAAGGTGGGGTGTTGGAAGAAGGAATAAGAGGGCCCACTGCTTGGTTCCCTGCCTCCTCAGTCACACTGGTGGCTTCGGGTTCCACCCCCACCCTGAAGAGCACGTAACATTAACAGCAAGCATGTGATCCTCCTTCCAAGAAGGGCTTCCTCTGACCTGCTCCTTGAACAGCTCCCGGAGCGTGGCCATGCACTGCTGCAGCACCTGCTTGTCGTCCAGGGTCCTGACGGACGCCACAGCCTCCCCAGCAATCACCGACATCAACACACTGTGCTTCTTCTGGAGGCCCGGGAGAGAAAAGCAGGGTATGTTTTTTGCTTTGGGTATAAAAGTCTCTAGATGCTTGGTTCCAAAAAGGTAAGGGCCTCATCCCCACAAATTAAATTTCATTATTTCCAGCTTCCCTTATCCCAACTTCAATTGCAGTCCATTTTCTCACAACCACGCATCATCCATCCGTCTGCTCTATTGTAATGTAAAGAGCAAATTCGTGCTGCCCTTGGCTGTTCACTTACAACAACTTGTTTCAGAAGTAGGAGAAAGAGATTGAGAAGGGAAATCTGCAGATGAAATAACGGGTAAAGAAAAACTCTTCTCGAATGCTAAAGAAATTCTGCTCTTGGTTCCCACGGGATACCTTTTTAAGAGTTCACGTGAGAGCCCTTTTTAATGACCCCTTTTTAACAGTTTCTTGAAACTGAGAGAAAGTAAGAAACAACAGCTGTGATTCTTTTGTGTGGCAACAAAGCGACAGCAGGGAAAATCACCACAGCTGTGGAGTTCCAGGGACGACCTCTCCTCTTCCTTCCCTCCCTCACATCACGCCCGGACCCCTCCTTCACAGCGCACCAGAGAGCAAGTGTCAAGCCCCTCTGGCTCACTGTGCTGTCGCCAGCTCTCCTAAGAGGAATCGCCCTATCGGCCAAAAATAACAGTTTCCACATGCAGCCAATTCATGTCCCAGGGAGCAACATTAGTACTTCAAGAAAACATGGCAAATATTGGGGGTTCCTGTCCTATAGGAAAATGTCCTGGTCCATATGTCCTCCCAGAATATACACATACATGATCACGTGTCTCCACAATATTCATTAATTCCTGAACTTGACATGTGAGTAATTATCAAGCCAAATTCCAAACTTTAAAAAGGGAATTCAAAGCACATTTCACAAATGATTTTTACCTGGGGATCCATGTCATAGAATACAGCAAAAAGCCCTCGCTTGCTGGCACTAGGAGGAACGTGGCCAAAAAAGTCAGCCCCTTGAACTTTACTGTCCCAAAACCTATAAGGAAATTGCAAGGCGATCTGGAAAGCAAGCAAGAGAAAGATGGTTAAGTATTTTCTCGTATCAAAAGCACAAGCAATCTCTAAGAAGCAACCTGCAGCTCTACTCTAAAACAAACTATGTTCAAAAGAACAAACCAAAATACTCCCTCTTTCCATTCTGCTGACCTTGTTTATTCTCTTGGTGACTTCCCAGTTTTCATGCCATTCAGTTCTACACTCCCACAGGTAAAGGTGGGACCCGCTGACAACCTATAGGCTAATCTGAAGATGTAAATCGTTTCTGAGATTTGTTCTCGAAGCCTATGTCCACAAGTTCAATTCTTACCATGTATAGGTCTGCCAGGATCTACTGCAGCATTGGCAGATTCTGCTAAAGGAGATTTTAAAGGCAGAGGAAGGAAACCATGTCCTCATTGGGACCAAAGAGTAGAAGGGAGACAAGGAAAGCAAAGCAGAAAAAAAAAAAGAACTGCTTATACCAAATTCAAACTTTGAATAACAAGATTCATTCTCCTAAAGTCAAAACTCACAGACCTCAGCCAGGCGTCCTGCTTTTATTTTGATGTTCTTTTGTCTTCTTCATAAACAATTACTCCAATGAAAAGGAAATCTTTGAATTTTATTTAGATTCAAACACTACCCACATTATACTTTGGATACCCATATCAGAAGTTAAAGCCTATTATCTGATATTATTAATAATCTCTCTAGTTCTGAGGGTGAAGTAATTTAAGTCACCTTTTCAATAATGCCTGCACCTAAGCTGTTGATAGCTTTCATCTTCTTCTCCGACAACGGTGGATTAAACTGAATGGCACCTTTCTGTAGTAAGGCCAGTGGTATGGTGACTAATACCTGTGGGAAATAATGAACAGTTAACACACAAACAGCAACAGAACCTAATACCACAACTACTCAGTGGGTTTATTTCCAGGAAAATCTCAGTGTTTTTAAAGATAGTTTCTTACAAACTCAAAGCTCTCTATTGCCAATCATGAGATTATCAACATGACCATGTTGTTATACTGGTAAGAATAACGGTTGCCACGTGCAACACTGTTCACTGCACATGGGCGCCTGGCTGAGCAGAAGTGGCGTCCACATAAAGGAATTTGTACGAAAGTCCTGATGGCTAACAATAATTGTAAGAATTAGCAGACCCCCAATCCTGAAAAGCAGTGCTGTAGGAGGCAACAGCCCTAAATACGGAGTCAGGAGAACTCTATCATTTCTGATCCACTCTACCATGTGGCAAGCCCTGCCACTCATCTCTGCCAACCAGCTGTATGATGAAGGTAACAGCTGCCCCACTAACCTCAAAGGATTAGGGTAAAGCATAAAACTTAGATTTACAACGCTTCATAAATGGTAAAGTATATAACATTAGGAATTATTTTAACCATGTAAAGCCATGTGAAATTTTTCCAAAGAGAAAGAAATTTATTTCAGGGTCTCAAGTGGGTCTAAAGAATCATTTAGAAGGGCTGAAAAAACAGAAGAAAAGTTGAGCCTTCAAGAATGACTCTCAAAACCACATCACAAAACCAGGTCAAAGAAACCTATTGTCTTGTCATAAAAATCAAGAAATTTCTGGCTCCAGACCATGTTACCACTTCTACACTCAAAAAGCCATTATTGCTGCTACCAGCTCCAGAATCATACCCCATACAGACCAACCTGAACCAGCAAAATGGTGCCTCACACCCCACCCTTTCACTTCCTTGTAGTTAACGACTGAACCCTGGGACCTCTACTATCCCTGCTACAGAAGAACCAAACACCTCAACCGCTGTGCTTATTAGCAGAGGCAACAAAAGTAAAGCAAAAACCAACCTACACCTTCCAAATCTCATGCAAGTGCATTAGACTAGAGGAGCCTAATTCCTATTTAGAACTTCAGCTGCAAGGGAGTCTGAGAAGAGTATGTGTGTTTACTTTCCCACATCTGCGGTACAGGATGACACACTAGGAAGAGAGCATGGGATGGAATTGAAGACCAAGCACCATTATCTACCCTAGCCCTCAATTCTAGGATCACAGGAAGTTTAGAGTTCTTCCTGTGATTTTGTCACTATTTTCTGCCACATGAAAACTTTTTTTTTTAATATGGGAGAAAGCACATCTCACTCTGTCGCCCAGCCTGCAGTGCAGTGGCGTGACCATAGCTCACTGCAACCTCCAACTCCTGGGCTCAAGCAATCCTCCCACTTCAGCCTCCCGGTAGCTGGGACTACAGGTGCACACCACTGAACCCAGATAAATTTTATTCTTTGTAGAGACAGGGTCTTGCTATGTTGCCCAGGCTGGCCTTGAACTCTTGGCCTCAAGCAATCTTCTTGCCTCAGCCTCCCAAAGTGCTGTGATTACAGGCGTGAGCCACTGCACCCAGCCTCTGCCACATGAAAACTTTAGAAAGTATAAAATATGTTCTCTATCCTCAAGTTTATAACCTGTTTAGAGATAATAGCTACCACGTAACCAAGGAAAAAAACTCAAACAAAAAAAATTGCCCAGTTAGATTACATATAAGAAGTGCAAGAAAATACACAAAATCTAGATGTTTTCTTAATGACAAAAAAGGCTTCAAAAGCACAAGAACTTGGGTAAACAGACAAATGATATAAACACATCCTAGTAAGGAACTAAAAGCTAATCTCAGTGGAAGCAGCCTAGATCAAGTTACAGTTTGTCAAAGGTTTATCGGTCTGTCATGTTGGATTGGAAATCTTTCACTTACAAGTTTGGGGAAACTTCCAATATAAACTGCGATGTGTGCTAGCTACATAAAAATAAAAATATTTGCTTTAAAAATTTCAAAGCGCAGCCTGACGCTGCGCCCTCATTTCTTTGGAAGGCTGGAATACAAACACAGAAGGGCATGTGTGCCTGGCCAGGATCGGGCAGAGGGTGACCAGGCAGGTGAAGCATAACTAGCCTGTTGTCCTGGACACCAAGAAGCAGAGCTACAGATACCAGAGGCTGAACTGTCAGCTGATTTGTAATTTTAAAAAGTAGTATTTTTAAAAAATGTTTACCACTAGGAAGAACCTTAGATACGGGGGGCTTACAGACAAGGACTCTGTAGCCAAGGTTCTCAACCAGGACAGCACAGTGGAATCATCTGGGAAGCTTTAAAAACATGACCTTTGCAACTTTTCTTATAAGCACCTCTTAAGTGATTTAGACAAGAATGTCCAAAGTCTCCCAGCTAGTTAATGGTAGGAATACTGCTAGGATACCTCCCACCCCACCCATTCTAAATCTAGACCCTGTCTTTCCCACGTGACACGCAATCCTTTATTTCCATATGAATATCAAGGACTATGAAACAGGCTTTAGACAACTGAAATGTAGAAAGCAAAGCTTGTCTAGGAGACTAGTGATAGTTCATCAATTTTTTTTTATAATCACTTCAGATATAACTAAACTTAAAATAAGCTTTCAAGGCTTATTAAATCCCCTCTACCCCAAGTAAGCAACTTTGTTCTCTAATACTATAAATCTCAGTGTGATTTCAAGTATTAGATTCAGCAGTACCTTGTCCTGTTTACTTACTAAGGCTAGTTACAAAAAATTTAAGTTATATAAAAGTACTTCTGACAGTTTCAAGATGAAAACATAGAACGTTCTTGATCTGAAAAGGATTCCATGGTAAAAAAAAAAAAAAAAAAACAAACAAAAAAACCTGAGCACAGAATTAAAGTAAAATAGATTTCTTTAATGCAAGACTTGTCAGAGCCTTCAATATATTCTGATTTAACCCTATATAACTCCTATTAACCCTAAAAGTAGAGTTTAATATACAATATTTCCCAAATTTATTTGGCCAAGGAATTTCTTTTCTTGTTCAACTCTGAGGACTAATGTTCCATAGAACCCACTTTGAGGAACACTATTCAGAATTCCATCTGCCATGAATCTATACAATGTTACATCAGTTTAATCAGCTTTGCACTTATACACAAAATTAAGTGGAGATACATAACTCCTCAGAAATCCAACAAGGCTCCAAGGCAAACTGCCAAAAGCAAATTGCTTAGCGGGAAAGACTGTTTTTCCTTCCTTCCAGGTCCCTGGCAGCAAGGGGCTCTAACCTAGTGGAATCCTAGCACTTACCTTTTGTGCAGAAAACCCTGTGCCATCTGTGGTGGTAACTTGTACTTCATCTCCAGAATAATCAATACTCTGCACCTGCTCAAAAGCAACCATCAAAAAATGAGGGATGGAACCATGTGACCCAAGATCCTTTCCCATTCTCATATCATGTGAGTTTACCCCTCCAAGGCTATGGAAAATAATTTTCTGGCATTCAGAGATCTAAAGAGTTACAGCTGAACTCAGGGAATTAAAACTTATAAATACTACATCAGAATATGGAAAATATTTACAGTATGATATAAAGTGAAATATATATATAAAATTACCTCTATGACTACAATAAGATACAACGCAAATGCATTAGGACAAAGATTTGAAGGGAAAATTTAAAAGCAAAAATAACCACGTTGGGTTAGGGAGGTCGTGAGCAATTTGAACACCTTATTATTAATGAAAATGTATCTGGGCCACTATTGATTCCAAACAGCGGCAGCTACCTCACTGACATGTGTAATGCCACATGGCTACAACTGCACACAGAAGTACCTGACACCGGCTGAACGTCAAAGCAAACCCCAGCCTCCTGAGTAACCCACATGCCCAAAACCTCACATCCTCCCAAACAAGGGAAAGCCAGAGCCTCCCACCACTGTCGATACTCACCGGAGATTTGAGTCGAATGTCTAGCCCTTCGGCCAATTTTTCAATTATTACCGAGTATCCAGGAGTTAGGAGAGTGTGGTCACCAGCAAACTGGGCAAAGAATTCATTGTGGTCCCAGGAGCGAGCAGACACCTGGAAATCAAAGGAGGTTGGGGACACAGAAGTGTAAATCCCTGAGCCTGTGCCAATAAAAGGAGCTCCAGGTGAGAACAGACACCCAAGGCAGGAGGGAGGGCTACCAACCACAAGGCACACATCCAGGAAGTAGGGGATGAACAGACCAGCCCAGGTGGACACCACTGTCAGGAGAAAGATGTCTCTTGATCACACACAGGAAAGTTTATTTTAGAACAAAAGGTCTATATGACTTGGGCATTCCTTGATAAAAATAAAAGTTAATTTTATATGTCAACAACTCTGGCAAAGGAGAATTCTATGCGGGTAAAACTGTGTTTGAGCAACTCCATGTAAATTTGCCAACTATTTGTCTTTAACATGGAAATTCTATAGATCTTGGAAAACAGTGTGATTCCAATCACAATGCAGAATCAGATGGAATGGAGATGTCACCCCAAAGGGGGAAAATTAAATCATCCATGGAGTTTCTATTCAAAATACAGAATACCGGAGTATTAAGTTCACAGTTGGTTAAATAAGTTAGGCTCAAATGTAAGTTTATTTTAACAAGATAAACAGACCAGAATTGCAAGGATACCATATTTTGGTGTCTGGAGAGCAGTGTGTTTAGACTCTATGGTTCCACAGAAATGACTCAAGGGCCTCTGCAGAGGGCAAGGAAAACAGGGCAGTTAAAGAGACCCTGCTCTGATTCAGCCCAACAGCCCTCCTTTCTTTGGTTTTACATATTGAGCTTCTTCACAGGTATTATTTAAAGAAGGATTTCTCTTGTTTAAAAAAAAAAAAAAAGTTAAACATTAAAAAAAAAACCACTTTGGGGTTAATATGCTCAGAAGTCATGGTTTTCAAACTTTTAAGCAGCAAAACTATTCTTCCCTGTTTATCCAAACTAGCCCGAATTCAATATTTAGATACACAAAATACATCTCTACACAAAAACGAGTATTTGCAAAGTACACATTTCACAAAACCCAATCACACCTGGTGGAGGTTGCTGCCAAAGGCGTATTCCAGGTTACTGAGATGGAACTGAAGCACTTGTCCTTCAAGCTCGCTGAACTGGATACCAGATTCCTTAATAAAAGCTTTGTAGATCTCCTCAATCTTTTCTGCAATGGGAATGGATCAAAGCAGGAAAAATAGCATTAACATGATTCTTTAATTCCTTATCCTTTGCTTTCAACCTCCTTCACACGGCAAAACCCAAAACTTCCGAAGTCTCTTCCCAAGTAAACTCAGGGGGAAAAGGATCTCTTGATCGGGTTGACTTCTCTCAGGAAGTGAAAGCTTATCCTAACCGGAAACAAAGCTATGTAGGTTCCATATCTTCAGAAATGTTTTGTTTCTCCTTAGTTGAAAAACTGTTTCCTCTTGTGCTCAAGATATAGAAAAAGTAGACCTGCACATACACGTGCAAACACACAGAGAGGATTACCATTCGCTTTCTGGAACTGCCATCACCTTAAAGTCAATTCTTATAACATCTCACCTCAACTAAGAGAGCTATAAATAGACTAACTATTGGCTCCCAAACAAGAATATCCCATTATGGACTTTCCTCATGTCAGCCCTCTGCCTCAGTATCTTTAATAACTGGTTCCCCGCTGCCTATGTAAATTCCAAAAACCATAGCCAGGCACAGCGGGCTGTGGTTTTAGCCTTCTCAAAGGTAGCAACTACAACCTGCCCACTTACAGGCTCTGCTGCGCTGCTGCTGAATCTTCTCCTGGGAAATTCCAACCCTGCAAGGCTGCTGCTCCAGCTCCCATCACAAGAATCCCGCCCCGCACCCCGTCCTGTCCATTCTTTACAGGCCAGCATCACCCAGCTGCTGCAAGCCTCTGAAATCCCTCCCCGTCATCAACCCCAGCACTTATCTCTCCCGTTCAACTGGACTTTTTAACTATACAAACACAGCCCTGTGATATCATCCCCGTTGTCTTAGATTCCTTTTTGGTGGCTCTGGAGGGTGGAAGAGGGTTCCGGCCTCGTGTCTGACTAATTCTAAGCATCCTTACACAGGTGACTTCTTTATTACTTTTTCAGTGATGACAACTATCCAACACATACATCACAGACTCCAAGTTTCCATAAAATATCACGCGCTAGCCTGACCAGAGACGGAACTGACTATCCGTTAACTTCTTTTTCATAGCTCAAGGTTCTCATTAGATTTTTCAATTCTTACACTAGATTGGAACATGGGGATGTCCAAGGGACCTCTCTGGATTGGTGCCAAACATTTGCTCCTAGACCACGGGGCTCTGTGGCCTTTTCAGTGTCTTTTGCAGTGGTCCCATTCCTGCTTCCTGATATGCAGCTTCCACTTTCCCATCATTTTTATGGAGGAAGAAAAACCAATATTGCTAGAATAGTATATAAAATTAAGTTTAAACAGACTGAGAGAGGCCTTAATGTGATTTTTCTGTAAATAATATTTAAAAGCTGTCGTACCCATACTTTGTGAAATGAAATCTAGTCTCTTAGTATTTATCTTTGGGTTTTCCCAACTTTGTGTTAATGAGATCTCAGACAGCTGAGATACTAATAGGCAGGATATAACTAAAACCTTACAGAGATGTATGTACTATTATCAAAGATTTTTAATAAAATATTAACATGATGAAATAACTACTTACACAGTAAGTATTGCTGAGCTTCCCTTTTAACCTTTTTATGCAAGGCCAAAGCAAAGCAATATCATTAAACTTTTTTATTTGGTGACTGAAAGAAACATAAAGAAATGTAAAGAAAACCCCAGCCAGTGACTACCACACAGGTGCAAAACACTAACCAAATTCTGAGAGCATCCTGCAAGTCAGCATAATAACTGTTCTCAGCTCCAGAAAATTTAAATGACCCACCGATTGATCTGGACACTACAACATTTGATTAAATGACCCCTGTTGAGCAGAGTATATTTCTGAAAGTGTTCTATTGTGTCAGTCAGCATTTACTAAGGGCAATTACAGTGTGGGTCAGTCTCTTAGAGGTGGTAGCCTGAGGTAGCTGAGGGGGAGGGGAAGGAGAAAAAGAGACAGTCCCTGCTACTGAGAAGTTTACCCCAAATAGATGAAGTGTATCACAGTCTGAAAAATTGAGACCCCTTGCAAAGAAACACATAGTTGAAGGCCGGGCGTGGTGCCTCACGCCTGTAATCCTAGCACTTTGGGAGGCCGAGGTGGGCGGACTGTTTGAGCTCAGGAGTTCAAAACCAGCCTGAGCAAGAGCGAGACCCCGTCTCTACTAAAAATAGAAAGAAATTAATCAGACAACTAAAAATATATAGAAAAAATTAGCTGAGCATGGTGGCGCATATCTGTAGTCCCAGCTACTCGGGAGGCTGAGGCAGTAGGATCGCTCGAGCCCAGGAGTTTGAGGTTGCTGTGAGCTAGGCTGATGCCACGGCACTCACTCTAGCCAGGGCAACAGAGTGAGACTCTGTCTCAAAAAAAAAAAAAAGAAACACATAGTTGAAGCAAATTAACATCTTGCAAATTGAGTGCAAATGTTCACACTTGGTGAAACTCCAACATGCCTCCAAGAACTACAAATGAATACATTCAGATCACAAAATTGTAGGTTATATAACTATCAATTTAAGAAGCAATAACAGTAAAATTTCAACTGACACCTTCATGGAAATGAGTCATTATAGGCAGTCAAGTTTTCTAAAAAGTTGTAGTTAATAATGCCCATTTAAGTACCAAAGCCAAAAGATTCTGAATTAAAATTCTCAAATTATAATATATATTCTTGCATTCTTAAGCAAAATATACTGAAAAAACCTTAACCTATGGCCCAAAAAAAAAGAAGAAATCCTGGCATATAGAAAACCTCATCTAGAAAAGACATGTGATGATTTATTCACAGAGCTTACCACATTTCCTTAAAGGTAAGCTCCTCTGAGAAATTTAAAATTAAACATTTAGATAATTTTGTCAAACACCAGCTATTATGTAAAGTAAGGTCCGTGTGTATGCACACACGACACAAGCATCTAAGGCACCTGGGGCAGTTCTGCTCCCCCTGAGGAACAGTCTGGAGAATTCATCAGTCCAAAGGGAACATTCATAAGGACTATCCCTGTCGCAGACATCCACCCTCATGAATGCACCGTCCTACTGCTGATCAAGCTCAGGTTAGAATGAAACGGAGATGGAACAATCAGAACACCATTCTCCCCATACCTCCTAAAGGGACATCTTGGAGCTGAGTCTTATCCTTCCTCCACTCAGAGACAACATCCAAGAGAGCATTAAAATGAAAATCCATGCGCTTGTCAATAGTGGGGTCAGTTATTCTTCCACCTTCCTGAATTAAGTCACATCTTTCTCCAAATTTATGCATGCTGATGCCAAGCTTCAAAATAATAAGAATAAGAAGGTGAAAATAATTTTCCCTGGAAAAAATATCTTACAGGTTCTAAGCTGAAATTAGACAGAGCTCTCATGGAGAAAAGGGACTATTACCTCTCAAAAATAAAGCTAAACGTGCTTCATGGGAAAGGGCAGCAAAGTCAGGCAGTGAAAAAAAAAAATGGCACGAAATCTACAAGACCTTATTTTATGAGAATGTGAGACGGCAGCAACGGCTTCTACACCATGCACTCTATAATTTTTGGCTAACGTTTCAGATGATAGGCACTGCCTGTCCTTGCTCTGATATTCTGTCTCCTCCATGGACCCTCATGTAAATGAACACACAAACACACAAACACCCGCAGCAGAAGCTGAAATTCAATTTACCATCAATAAATGTTTCAAAAAACCCTTGGGCCTAAGAAGTCTTCAAAGAAACTATGTAAGGTTGCCAGATAAAAGACAGGCTTCCCTGTTAAATTTGACTTTCAGATAAATAATGCATACATTTTGAAGTATAAGTATGTCCCAAATATTGCATGCAAAATAACCCATGTAATATTTGGGACATACTTGTACTAAAAAATGTCTTCTTTATCTGAAAGTCAAATGTAACTGAGAATCCTATATTTTTAGTTGCTAAATCTGGCAACTCTAAAATTACGAGCTAATCAAGTGGCCTGCAAATAACATACAAATAAAACTAAAGATCTTAGAAAAAGGAAAAAAAAAATATTTTACATCCTCTAGTTCCACCTTCTCAGAAAGGCAGAGTGTAATTGTTCTTATTTACTTTGCAGAGGGGACTGCTATATGTTACCTGCTTTAGAAGCTTATAAATACTACACACAAGCAAATTGAAACAGTTTTCTTTTCTTTATCTACAACACAAATCTTAAAGAAACTCACTTGCTCACACATCAGTGCTATTGGGTTATTAACACAGCCATTGACAATCTGGGCTCCTCTTCCCACTGTGACACCTTTAAAAGATTTATCATCCCATACTCGGCCTCCAATTCTGTCTTTGGCTTCCAGGACCGTCACCTAAAAAGACAATCCAAGAAGCTAAATACAAGAGTCATATCAGATACACTATGATAAAAATGTAGAATGACACTGTTCAATAACCTCTATATTTAGTTAATTTATTCTATTTCTACAGAAAAAACTTTAAAAAGCAGGCAGTGTGAACAGAAGCCAAAGTAGATGTCTGAAATAATCCAGATTCTAGCAAGGAGTGGTCTACTGGAGGAAGTCCTCAAACCATTTTCTCTCAAATCAGATAATAAGATTTGATGAAGACATGAAATGTATTCTGAAAGCTTTTACAAAATTGTATTCCATAAATTTAAAAGCACCATTAAAAACTAGTTTAAAGAGGTGTTTTTTTTCATATGAAATACCTATGTATGTAGCAAAATTCCTTTAGCATTGTAAATAAGCCTTTACTTCCCTCAGATATGACTATTATTTTAAAAGAAAAACGGTATGCCCTTCATGTGAGTCTGACTTCATGGGCTTGGCCTAACCAGTCCCACACCCAGACTATTTCATCTCCTCCACCTCCAATTTTTTTTTTGTTTTTGGAGCCAGGGTCTCACTCTTGTCACTTAGGGTATAGTGCAGTGGCACGATCATAGCTCACTGCAGCTTTGAACTCCTGGGCTCGAGTGATCCTCTCACCTCAGCCTCTGGAGGAGCTGGGACTTCTCCAAATTTCTAATGCTGGTGGCCCAAGAAGCTGCCACCGAGTGGAAAGGCTGAGTCTTCCTGCAGCCTTAAAATTCAAAGTGCCGCACTCAAACTTCCATGGGTTGCATTAACTGAAGAGGTGAGTCCTATTCATTGCAAGGCCAGTCATTTCATTTCTAGATCCCTGTAAGCACTTCTTCAAATTGCTCAAGAAGAGCTTCCCGGGGTTAACCATCTCTCAGGTTACTCAGAGGAATCTATTTCCAAACCATGAGGGGGGTGGATGGTCCCCCAGGCATCTCCCTCACCACTTGGGCAGAGTAAGAGGAAAGTTAATAGGGGTCCTCTGAATATTCTTTCTCAGACTTAAATTCTTCACTTTCTCTAACTAGAAAGGCCAAAACTCATGGTTCTACCTCCCTACCCTCTTTCTCTGACTTCGATTTTACACAGAACCACCCATTTCTAATTTCTTTTTCACATGAGAGGAAGGGTGAACATTAAAGACAGTCTCCCTAGACTTTGGGTATTATTAATAATAATCTTCCCTGTCATATAATCTGTAGGTTTCCCAAGTAAAAGACAAACTAACAAAAAACTTTGGCTCTAACATCTAAGGCTGAAATAATCAATTAAAACACTTTCTAGCTTAATACCACACACAAAAAATTTTTTAAAATGCAAGCACACTCAGAGTCTTCTGTTTTGTCAGCAACATAATGTAATCCAGGACATGGGTCTTCTATTCAGCAAAGAGAAAATCTCTCCTAGGCATAGCTATTGAAAACTTTTCTCATCTCAGGAAAGTCTTCCCACAGAGAAGTAAAAAGAGTGTTGTTTCTTTTAGCCAGAGGGAGAACAGTGAAAAGACTAATTCAGTTCTACCCAATTAATTTATACTTTTGGTTTACTGAAAAACAAAGTTCTTACAAAATAAGTTTTTAAAAAGAAAAAATGTGTCAGACCTAAAAAGAAAAAAATCACAGAAATGTGTGGGATGGTTAATTTGAATGAATTTAATTGAAATTAGTTATCAAATCACACATGTTTTGTCATCAAAGTCTTTATTTTGGCTAATTTTGAACCAGGCAAGAGTTTAGCAACAATATGTTGCATATTCTACCCTGGGGAAGCAGGTTACCTTAAACACGTACAGTACTCAGTCATTTAATTGTATCTCAACCAATGGATTAACTAATTCAATCTTGCTTCCAAAAGCAAAGGTTTTTGTTTTTCGGAGTAAGACTCAAAGGGTATTTTTGACTTGCATAAAAAATTTAACTGGGTATTTCAGAAACTTCTACAGAAGAAATGGTGAATTTCCATGCTATTTGTTGTCTCAAACTATTACAGAAATAAGAGCTTATTCCCATCACCTCTTTTGTGTTAATAATAATGTCAAGAATTTCTGCTGTAATACTAAGTCAGAATTTCTTCTAACTTGATCATTAGAGTCCAAAACCTTCTCAAAAGCTGTGGGAATTTCTATTTTCCTTTACCTTTGTATCAAATCAATTTCAAATTTTGTAACTTTTCTAGGATCTAATATAAAGATACAATGTATTTGGCACTCTTCACTAAAAATAGGAACTGGTTTCTTTTTTTTTTAAAAGAGATGAGGTTTCACTCTTTTATCTAGTCTGGAGTACAGTGGCACAATCACAGCTCACTGCAGCCCCAAACTCAAGCAATCCTCCCACTTCGGCCTTCCAAGTAGCTGGGACTACAGGTGTGCACCACCATGACCGGCCAGAAAGTGGTTTCTTTTTTTTTTTTTTTTTTGAGACAGAATCTCACTTTGTTGCCCTGGCTAGAGTGAGTGCCGTGGCGTCAGCCTAGCTCACAGCAACCTCAAACTCCTGGGCTCAAGCAATCCTTCTGCCTCAGCCTCCCGAGTAGCTGGGACTACAGGCATGCGCCACCATGCCCGGCTAATTTTTTCTATATATATATATTTTTAATTGTCCAGATAATTTATTTCTATTTTTTGGTAGAGACAGGGTCTCACTCTTGCTCAGGCTGGTCTCGAACTCCTGACCTTGAGCGATCCACCCGCCTCAGCCTCCCAGAGTGCTAGGATTATAGGCGTGAGCCACCGCGCCCGGCCCAGAAAGTGGTTTCTAAGTCTTAGAAAAGTTGGACCAAAAGGAACAGCCAACCATCTGCTTCCAACTACATGTCCCAAAAAGTCCTACCTTAATTCCAAAGTTATGCAGTTGCCTAGCAGCTGCTAATCCTGCTGGACCAGCACCAATAACGATGACTGATTTCTTAAAAAGAAAAGAAACAAAACTCCAATTAGAGTAATGATAACAATTTACTGTTTTAGTTGCTCTGGAACTGCCAAGCAATGTTAGTTCATCTACATCTCTTGATGTCCTTAGTTATTTTCCTAAAGAACATGGTGGTACTTGTGTTAAGTAAATCCCTTCCTTTTTTTCTACAGTCTGAGTAAACAGTGCTTGATCTTTTCCTCTTGGGAGAAACACATTTCCACAAAAGTCTTGTTTTGATAAGTTTTGTGGTGATTACGTGACTTTTACTAGTATTATTAATGGCAATAGACTAGCATTTGTCTTGACCAATGGGAGTGCTATCACTAAAGCTACAGTCACCTACATTGTGGTAGTCTTTAGGGAGAAGATACTGGTCGGTTCCCACGCGGAGAACTCCTGTGTTGATGAGACCTTTTCTTGTCATGAAATAAAGTATCCTCTCTACTTCCTGAACACATCGAATGCGCACCAGACCCCGGACAATGATGTGAGGAATACATTTCTGAGGAGTAAGAGCTTCCTGTGTTTGGAAATGAAAACAAATTGTTAAAAAACAAACAAACAAAAAAACTCAAGGAACTCAAACAATTCAATAGCAAGAAAATAACCTAATTAAAGACTGGGCAAAGGATCTGAATAGACATTTCTCAAAAGATGACATATGAATGGCCAACAGTTACAGCCATCCCTTGGTATCCATGAGGGACTGGTTCCAGGCTCCCCTGAGGAGACCAAAATCCACAGATGCTCAAGTCCCTTATGTAAAATGGCATAGTATTTGCATATAACCCATGCACAACCTCCCATATACTTTAAGTCATCTCTAGATTACTTATAATACTTAATATTATACAATATAAACAGTTGTTATATTGTATTCTTTAGGGAATAATGACAAGAAGAAAGGCTGTACATGGTCAATACAGATGCAACAATTTATTTTTTCCCAAAATTCTGAGATGCGGAACCCATAGATACCAAGGGCCAACTGTATATAAAAAAATGCTCAACATCACTATCAGGGAAACACAAATTAAAACCACAATCAAATATCATCTCGCATCTGTTAAAATAGCTATTACCAAAAAGACAAAAGGTAACAAGTATTGGAGAGAAAAGGAAACCCTTGTGCACTGTTGGTGGGAATGAATATTAGTACAGCTGTTACAGAAAACGGTATGGAGGTTTCTCAAAAAATTAAAAATAGAACTACCATAAGATCCAGCAACTCCACTGCTAGGTATATATTCAAAGGAAATGAAGACAGTATGTTAAAGAGATACCTGCACTCCCATGTTCACTGTAGCGTTACTCACAATAGCCAAGATATGGAATCAACCTAAGTGTCCGCTGAAGGATTAATAAAGAAAATGTGGTATATATACATAATGGAATACTATTCAGCCTTTAAAAGAAAATCCTGTCATTTGTGCCAACATGGATGAACCTGGAAGATATCATGTTAACTGAAATAAACCAGACAGAAAGACAAACACTGCATGATCTCACTCATATGTGGCATCTAAAAAAGTCAAACTCACAGAAGCAGAGAGTGGAATGTGTGTTACCAAGGGTTAAGGGGGTGGGTATGGGGCAATGTTGGTTGAAGGACACAAAATTTCAGTTTAGACAGGCAGAATAATTTCAAGAGATCTATCGTGACCAGGTAAGGTGGCTCATGCCTATAATCCTAGCACTCTGGAAGGCCGAGGCAGGCGGACTGCTTCCACTACATGTCTCCTGAGGTCAGGAGTTTGAGATCAGCCTGAGCAAGAGTGAGACCCCATCTCTACTAAAAATAGAAAAATTAGCCGGGCATTGTGGCATGCCTGTAGTCCTAGCTACTCAGGAGGCTGAGGAAGAAGGATCACTTGAGCCCAGGAGTTTGAGGTTGCAGTGAACTACGATGGCACCACTGCATTCTACCCAAGGTGACAGAGACTCTGTCTTAAAAAAAAAAAAAAAAGACAGAGATCTATTGTACAACATGGTGACTACAGTTAATAACAATGTATTGTATACTTGAAAATTGCTGAGATTTTAAGTGTTCTCACCACAAAAAATGATAAGCATGTGAGGTAATGCATGTTAATTAGCTTGATTTAGCCATTCCACAATATTATACATATTTCAAAACATGTTGTACATCATAAATAAAAGTCTCTTGGTTCCTCAAAAAGTTAAACATAAAATTACCATATGACCCAGTAATTCCACTTGTAGGTATATACCCAAAAGAACTGAAAACAGGTATTCAAACAGAATGTTCACTGCAGCAGTATTCAAATAGGCAAAAGGTGGAAACAATTCAGATGCCCATCAATTGATGAATGGATAAACAAAATGTGATCTATCCATACAATGGAATATTATTCAGCTATAAAACTGAACGAAGTTCTGACACATGCTACCACATGGATGTGAAAACATCATGCTAAGTGAAAGAAGCCAGTCACAAAAGGCCACATATGATTCCATTTATTGGAAATATCCTGAATAGGCAAATCTATAGAGACAGAAAGGAGATTAGTGGCTGCCAGGGGCTGGGAAAATGGGAGGTGACTACTTAATGGGTATGGGGTTTCCCCTTGGACAATGAAAAAATTCTGGAACCAGATAGTGGCAATGGTTTTACAATACTGTATATGTACTTAATGCCACTAAATTGTACGTTTAGAATGGTAAAAATGGTAAATTTTATGTTATGTATATTTTATTACACTTAAAAAAATTCTCAGGACAATTCAAATCCATTATTTAACACTAAGATAGTAAGTGCAAAGAGAGGTTTGTCCAGTAGGGGAAAAGAAGAAAAAAGGGACAAAAGGAGGACACAGCAATTTATAGTTTATCACATGAGCTTCCCCTCACCAAGAATGACTGCTGCAAGGAGCATGGGGGACAGCACATCACATTCCCAACTCAACAAAGGCCACTACAGAAATCCCGGCTGCTGCTTGTACTGGCAGCAGGAAAAGCTGGATTCTCATGACTGATAAGATGTGGCGGGGCTGATTTAAGAACCTAAAGGAAAAAAAAAGATGTTGCCTTTCTCTGCTGACCCAGCTTTGGCAAGGCCTTGGTCTGTTTCAAAGACTCAAGAGTCATGAAGCCACTACTCCAGACCAGTGTCAGGAAGTTGGAACAGGCACCAAGGGCTCCCCCAACCCCAGGCCTCTCCTCTATTCCTGTCACCAACGCCTGGCTCCACCAGAACCTAATCAAACCCAGGCAGATGACCATATACCAGAAGTAGTAAATATGTACAACTGTTGGCTGAGATTGTTGCAAAAGATAATAAATTGGTTTGTATTCACGAAGTTAAAAAAAAAATTCAACATCTTTGATTTTTTAAAAGCAAATATATTTATGTCTTTCCACTAGAGTATTAAGTATACACAATAAATTCTAGTTTCTTATTAAAAACTAAGATAGATCCAGACTGACAAGTTCAGGACTTTTTCTATAACATTCTCCCCTATATAAGTCAAATTTCAATGTCAAATAAAAGGAAATGTGAAGAAAAATGAATCCAATGCTGTTTCTGAAAAGTACATCTTTGTAACCTATTTATATGAAATCCTGAACACAATTTTGTTCGATTCAGTAAATGTTTATTGAGTACCTACTCAAGCGTGCTGGGCAGAAAATGAGTATTTGTACCTTGCCCAACCAACTCACCTGGATAGAATTCATATAATTGCATGAACAGCCATAACTTAATCAGGTCATCTCATGCTGGATTCTCCCTTTTTTTTTTGCAAGTACAAGGTGAAATTTATTGATGTGGGGCAAGATAGGATTACAGAGCAGCAGCAAGATACAGGTTTACAGAGCAAGATACATACACCACAGATGACGACCGGACCCCTTGCTGTAGCAAAAGAGCTCACAGTGGATTCTAATCCAGTGAAATATCAGGGTGAAGTTGAACCATCTTTCTTTAATCAAGACTACTTTGGCACTCTTGCACAACATTCTGCATTCAGCAGTGACTCAATTGTTGAAGAAATTAATAAATCAGAAAAATCCTAGGGTCAAGTCTTTGTTTTTTTGTTTTTTTAAAAAACTAGTATTCCCACTCTGCCCCCCAGTTTATCTTCACGCTTTTCAAGGTGGGTGCTGTGTGATGTTTCTAACATTTATTTAGTCCCAACAGAGAGAAAAGCATTGGTCTTGGTTGCTTGAGGACACAGAGGAGAATAAAACTTAGTCCCTGCCCTCAAATGTTCATAATCTAACCTTTGATTTTTCTTTTTTCCTTCTGGCATTGCTACTGAAACTCTTTGACCAAACTTTGTACCTTATACTCACTCATTACAGAGTCAGCATTCTGATTCTGTATAGTATAAAGTGGTGGCTCTCAACAGGATTGACTCTACCCCTTTTTGGAAATGTCTAGAGATGTACCCGGGTGTTGTTAAACATCCTACAATGCGTAGGGCAGCCACCACCACAAAGAATTATCTGTTCAAAAGGTTAACAGTGCCAAGGCTAAGAAACCATGATCTAAAGCTTCCATCCCTGGATAAAGCAGTTTCCCTCCTTCAACAAAGTACTCTGTCCACATGCTGTTACCTAATGTGCCCTTACTTACTTTGCAGTTAGTATACCACAGTGCGAGGATGAGGTTTCTCAATGCCAGGTACATGGTGGGGTCTCGAGAATATTCTGGAAACTCATAGAGCTCATCCAGTTCCATCACATCTGGCCTCACACAGAGGGCTTTGCCACACTCATTGGGCTGGTAGAAAGGCTGGAAGTACCGGTTCATGTCTGGAACTGACAGGTGACACAAATGAGCAACTCTGCGAGCTGTGACTTCCAAATCCAGAAGAATCAAAGAGAAAAAACAAACCAAAAAGGATAGCCTAGACAAACCCTGCGGTCTATCCGACATAAATCTCTCTGCTTCCTCCCTCCAAGTTGGTCAAAATACATATGAATTAAATATTTTTTTTCCCAATCTTTCTTCACAAGTCATTTACAACTTTAATTTCTGTAGTATGGAGAAAAATTTTAATTTTTCATTGTAGGAAAAAAACCACATACCATAAAATTTACCATCTTAACCATTTTTAAGTGTACCTTTCTGTAGTATTAAATATATTCAAATTGCTGTGCAACAGACCTCTAGAACTTTTTCATCTTGCAAGACTGAAACTCTATACCTACTGAACACCAACTTCCCATGAGATATATTTTAAAAGTTAACTTTTATGGCATTTTTCTGATTATAAAATAGGTTCACAGAAATAAATGACAATTACTAATCCTTGAATATGTCCAAGTGGAGGGGTTACATTTAGGGGTATACTCTACCCTTCTTTCTGTTTCTACGAATAGAGAATATTATGATGATATTTGTTGTATCTATAATATATTGGATATTAACAACAGATATTGGAAAACTGCTATAAAAGTGCTGTTTTCTAACCTACTTTTTAAAATTTATAGTATCATTTTCCCATGTCACCAACTATGATTTCGATGGCTATATATTTTCTTATTATTTAACCACTCCCCTATTGCTAGGCATTTAAATTTTATCCAATTATTTCACTATTATAAAAAATGCCAAAACAAATGTCTTTGTATATAAACCCTTAGATTTACTTTTGATTATTTATTTAGAACAAATTCCTAGAAATGGCACTGCTGGTCAAAGAGTCTATTTTAAGGTTTTTGATGCACACTGCCAAATCACCTTTCATAAATGTGCACTCTAATAGTATTTGAGTGCCTGTTTCAGTACACCTTCATTAACTCTGGGAATTACAACTTCAGCTTTGATTTCCACAACTACATTTTAAGAGGGCCCAGTGTTATCAAAAACCTTAAGATAGGGCCACAATGCAAAAATCTATTTGTACTATCAAAAATGCAGTTTGTTCATGTACAGGCATTAGAAAATCCAGAATTCTTGCTTCTACACCAAGATTCTAATGGAGAATTTTAAAGATTTCTTTAAAAGTAAATAGTCAACAGCATGCCTGCCCTGACCTGAGGTTTCAAATTTTTTCAAGAGTAGATCATTTTTGCTGAGATCACCAATGACATAATTAGCAGCAGAAAGACTCACAGAAAAAAGGACTGCTCATGTAGTTCAAAACTATTTCCTGATAAGTCAGAGTTCATGTTATCGTTAAATTAGACAGCTATCCAACTTTCAAATAAACACTCATTAAACCCAGTAGGTAATTCATGAGTAAGTGCTGCAGGCCTTCTAGATTCGTCAGAGAAAAATTAACTGCACGCTATACACAAACGACATGACTGATCTACAGGATAACTAAATCCACGAAACAATGTGCTTTATGTCACAGGCTGCTTACATTAAAAAAAATCTTTTGCATTTTGCTCACCCACATTTCCAGGGAGGGGAAGGGAATGGAAGGCAGGGAATACTAGGAACAGCTCTCACCCGGCACAGAGGGGGCTGTCTTGGAGTGCTCCAGCTTCCCCGGGCTGGCATTGCTGCCGGTGGTGGCACGGTTTGTGCTGGTGCAGGAGGGGCTCATGCCAACGCAGTCGGGGTAGTAGGCAGAGAGCAGGGGTGCTGCCACGCTGTCTTTCAGCAAAGGAGGTAGAATGAGCATGGAGTACCACCAATGGTTGGAAACTTCCGACACTCGCTGAGAGGGGCCGAGCAGAAGAGGGAGAAGAACAGACAAGAAGTGTCCATGCAGATTCCGCCAAGGACAGGATACTCTTCATTTCATTCATCTTTAATTAACCCTCTCATTGTGCTTTCTCCCTCTCAATCTTAACAATTCTGCACACACGGATTTTGAAACAAACATGGTCTGATGATACCTGGAAAGAATGTTTCCTAAGCAGAATTCTTTCCGACATACAGCAATAGCCTCCTCCACCCGCCCCCCACCCAAAGCCAGGTAAGTCTTAAAGCTGAGCCATTTACTATACCCCAAGCCTATGTTTAAGCCTGATATGGGAAATACATCTCTTCTTGGTAATCATCTATCATCCACCCCCTTTTACTTAGGATTTCAAGACCGCTGAAATTGAGAAACTGGGCATAAAAAATAATGCTCCTGAGTAGAGGTCAAGCATTACTGATTTTTGCCAAGTGCTACCACAAAGCTTTCAGAGAGAAAACTATACTGCAACCATCAAAGTCAGATGCCAAATGTAGAACTGAACAAAATAAGCTATTTTCAGTCTTCAAATATGTGATCATGTTCCAGAGTTGGTTTAACATATGGAGTCACTGGATCACAGCACCCCCGTGATGGCTAACTGCTGCAATAAAAATAAAACTTACATGGCTTCTGAAGCGACACTGCCACAAAGCCCATGGTAGACAGAAAGCCTTTTTAAAGCACAATCGTAAACATATGCTCCAAGAATTCTAAGAATCTGACACAGGGAACCTTGAGCTCAGGGACCTCCTCTGTAGACAGGTCCCCAGGCTCCATGCAAATGCCATTTGCCACCAAGCAGAAGTTTGCAAACTTGGAGTCTACAGGGTAAATCTGGCTTGAAGATACATTTTGTTTGGTCTTCAGATTTCAGAGTTCAAATGGCAGCAAGCATTTTTCAGTTTACTACAAGCCCTAATATCTCCTATAAATTACTGCCAGCTGCCTCGCACATTCATCTTCCTCAAATATCCTGAAGGTATTTGAGTCTGCATCCTTTGCTCTCAAGACTTATTCTAGGTTTGGCTATCCTGGACCAGCCTACACTGTCCCAAAAGAAGGGGAGCTCCAGCTCCTTTCTAAACACAGGTCTGCCTCTACCAAGCCTCTTCCTACCTCAGTCCCAAGGAAAGAGTAAACAGAATTCAGCCCCTGACACTCTGATTGGACCATGTAGAGGGCAGAAGGCTGGTGCCTTAAAATACATGAACCTGACTCATCCTATTCTTTTCTATTTCATGGGTCACATAGCAGAGTAGGCAAATTGAGTCAAGACCCAAGAGAGGTCCTGCCATCTTGCCACCTCCTCCTAGTCTTTTTTTTTTTTTTTTGAGAAAGAGTCTCGCTCTGTTGCTCAGGTTAGAGTGCAGTGGCATCAGAGCTCACTGCAACCTCAGACTCCTGGGCTCAAGCGATCCTCCTGCCTCAGCCTCCCAAGTAGCTGGGACTACAGGCGTGCACCACCACGCCCAGCTAATTTTTTTTTTTTCTATTTTTAGTTGCCTGGCTAATTTTTTTTCTGTTTTTTAGTAGAGATAGAGTCTCACTCTTGCTCAGGCTGGTCTTGAACTCCTGACCTCAAGCGACCCTCCTGCCTGGGTCTCCCAGAATGCTAGGATTACAGGAGTGAGCCACCCACCCAGCCTCTAGTCTTTCTTTTCCCTAGAAGCCCACTCCAACCCAGCGTCTGCATTAGCATGGGAGAAACTCAAAACAGTGACTAATAAATTAGCATTTGCTCCTGCTAGTCACCATTCCTGTACACCTGGCTAGAATTCTGTCAATATGCCATCAAAAATCCCATTCTTATCTTTAATACATATGCCACTGAAGAAATGATACTTTATGTAGTCAATCCATTAGTGTATTTAATCAAATATGCAGTGTATTGGATTAGTGTTCCCCAAAAATTCATGCCCACCTAGAACCTCAGAAGGTGACTTTATTTGGAAATAAAATCTGTACAGATGTAATGAGTTAGGATGAGGTCATTCTGGAACTGAGAGAGCCCTAAATTCACTATGATTGGTGTCCTTATAGGAAGAGAAGAGACACAGAGTCAGGGAAGACACACAAGGAAGGTGGCCATGTAATGACAGAGGCAGAGATCAGAGTGGTGTGTCTACAAGCCAAGGAAGGCCAAGGATTGCTGACAACCACCAGAAGCTGGAAGAGGCAAGGGAGGATCCTCCCTGGAGCCTCCAGAGGGAGCACAGCCCTGCCAACACCTTGATTTTGGACTTCTGGCCTCCAGAACTGCAGGAGAATACATTTCTGTTGTTTTACGCCAACCAGGTTGTAGTAACTTGTTACAGCAGGCATAGGAAATCTACATACCCACTAGAAATTTAGAAACTGCTTTAAAAGTGACCCTATAATCCACAGAAATAAAAAAAAAAGGTAAATGATTATGGCTATAGACCTGTTCCTGACTTTTTCTTAACTGAACACAAAAATAAGTAACTGGCAGATGAATATCCAGGGACTCTCCCAAATATTTTAAGTTCTTATATCCCATGAATATGGCCTCTGTCCTAAAGTTTGTATTCTTCTGGGTGCAAAACAGTCTCAATATTAGGGGACAGGACAATAAGTACTGCAATTGTATTTAAAGTTATTTTTCCTTTATATAATCTCATCCTTTCTACGTTAAATCCAAAAATTATTTGAGCCACCACTTTATTGTGGATTGAGGGTAAATCTATTATTAAAAATGTGTATATATACGCACATATACATACACACACCCCTTCATATAACAGAATGGATTCAAAGTAGATTTGCCAAGTGTCAATTCTCCCTTTGCCTGAAAATCCATCATAGTCCCTGAGTTTCACACATCTAAAACAACCGCAAATTCATAATCCTAAATCACTAAAAATCAGAATGACTCAGAATTTTAGTAACTGAGAAACCCAGAATTTTAAAAATCGTTTTCTGAAACAGTCACTGGCTCTGGTTACATGGCACATGGAGTTTGTCAACTCAGGTAGCAAAGTTTTATGAAGACACAGGAAATGTGAGGAGGCTTTGCCAGCTGGGGTACTGTTCCCCCTTCACATCTGGGCGTGGCCAGGACAGAGCAGTGAGGCTGAGGTCAGAATGCACAGAAACACTCCTGCAGCTGAAGCCAGGCCAAGACAACCAAATTATGGCCCTCTTGTTCTTTTCTTAGAAGGAGTCAAGTGGAGAAGAGGTCACAAAGTCATCCTTGAAAAACAAGTATAGCAAGTCTGCTCCCTCAAGCACAGCAGGGGAGCAGTGTCTTCCTGTTTATTTCCTTTTAATGTAAAGCAATACTTCACTTTTTTTTTTTTAAGTTGTGGGGGTGGGATCACCCACAATACTAGCATTTTCATAATATTGCTAGCATTTTCATAATATAGTTACTTTAGATTAAAAAGTCTTTGATCAGCAACCAAATAAAGAGAAAGAAACTCATCAAACTGTTACTGTCATTTACTTATAGTACTTATTGAAGGCACAATTAACCCCAATCCGGAATATGCAGAAATACTCACTAGATCCTCTGGGAGAGAACAATGATCTGAGGTCTCAGGCTGCAAAAAGAAAACCAAGTTTTAATTGGGTTTACTTATAAAGTATAATCTTAAGTGTTTATTTACCTTCAATAAGATACCCCTTTTCACCTATTAGACAAGCAAAGAAATAATGTTTTGATAAAATACTGGATAAGTGAGAGTGTGCAGAGACAGGTACTCTCAAAAGATGTTTCTGGTGGAAATAAAGGAATATAACAACTATAGACAGCAATGACAAAATATGAACAGTTTAAAATACACAATTTGCATTATCTTGTATAACCAAAGATACCTATGATATGCCCAGCAATTCTATCCTTGATATATTTTCTAGAGAGACCCTTGTACATGTGCTCCAACAGAAGTATTAAAAAATGTTTGGACCAGGTGTGGTGGCTCATGCCTATAATCCTAGCACTCTGGGAGGCTGAAATGGGAGGATCACTTGAAGTCAGGAGTTCAAGACCTGCCTCAGCAAGAGTGAAACCCTGTCTCTACTAAAAATAAAAAGAAATTAGCCAGACAACTAAAAATGGAAAAAATTAGCTGGCGTGGTGGCACATGCCTGTAGTCCCAGCTACTTGGGAGGCTGAGGCAGGAGGATCACTTGAGCCCAGGAGTCTGAGGTTGCTGTGAAGTAGGCTGATGGCACAGCACTCTAGACCAGGCAACAGATCAAGACTCTGTCTCAAAAAAAAAAAAATTCAAAGGAGCATTGTTTGTAATAGAAAAAAGCTAACAACTCAAAAGTTCATCAACAGTAGAATGGATACCTAGGTCATATAGTCAAACACTGGCATGCTACACAGCAATGACAATGAACTACGACTACACATTACAATGTGGACACACCTCACAAACATTATATTGAGCAAAAGAAGCCAGACCAAATGATTCCATTTACATAAAATTCAAAAACAAGTAAAAAAAAAATTGATAGTTTGTAAGTCAGAAAAGCAGGCAGCTACTCTGAGGAAGAAGGGATGGAGGCTGTGACTAGAAGCAGACCCAGGGGGTTTTTGAGAGGCTGGTGAGTGTTCAATGTCTTCATTGGGATGCGGCTCAACGAATACTTGGTGAAAATTCATTGAGCTGTGCATTTTGATTTGTGCATTTTCTGTTCGAAGGTTATGCTTCACTAAGAAAAGGTATCTAAATAAACTGAAGATTGGTATACCGTATGACCTAGTAATTCTAGTCCGTGGAATCTATTTCAGAGAAATATGTACACTTGCAGGGCAAGAATGCTCACAGCAGCACTGTACATAACAGCCAAAAACTAAAAACAACCATTATGTCCATGAACCCCAGTAAAGATACACTGAAGTACATTCACACAATGTTCTACTACCAGCAGGGAAAATTAACAAAGCAGAGGTTTAGGCATCCACCTGCATGCCTCTCAAAAACCTCAATGTTCAATGAAAAGAGCAAGTTAGAGAGGAACACAAGCAGTGATGACACAATTTAAAACCAGTACAAAAATAGGCAAAACTTAATGTTCAGGATTTCAGAAATATGTCATTAACTCTAACAAAAGCAAGGGAATAATAACTACAAAATTCAGAATGCTGTTTACCCCAGCAGGGAAAAGACAGGGAGTAACTACTAAGGCGCACATTGGGAGGTCTGAAACATTGGAAGTGCTCTGTTTCTTAAACTGGTAGGTACAGGCATGTTTTGCTTTAATTCTTTATTCCTTACATACAAGTTATACATCTTTTTGTGTCTATAAATTATTTCATATGAAAACAACTGGTATATACCCTTTGACACAGAAATTTTACTTCCAGGAATTGATCGTACCAATTATACTCAAAAATGGCATAGATACAAATCTATTGCCTGCAGCCCCATCACTAATAATAAAACAATAAAATAATAATAATAAAAGTCACGTAAATGACCTTCGATGGTGCTTAATTAAGCATGGGACATCCGTTCAGTAGAGTATTTATTAGACAGTCATTAAAGAGAAAGAAGAGATCTTTATGTACTGACATGCAAGCATCTTTAAGGCATATCAAATGACAAGGATCCAGAACAGTGTGTGTAGTTTGCTACTGTTCTCTTTCATATTGTTC